ATGTTTGTGGATTGGGAATAAAAGAGACTGTATGTGACAGTACAGGGAGTTCCTGTTTAACCCTCAAAGTGAAGTGTCGTCTCATTATTGGGGGAAGGATTTATTGCATGCTGTTCCAGTTTGACTGCTAGGAGAGTAAACCTATTCGTATGGTTCCTATTCAACTGTCTACAGCATTCATATGCTTGAGAGCATTCATATGCTCCTACAGTTCGGTGGTTTTGGTGTCTGCTGCAGTGCTTGGAGTCCTCAGGAAGTGCTAGGAGCATCCTTCAACGGAGGTGCCCAGTCGGGGTGCCAGTCGATCCGTTACATTGGTGGCAAGCGGTGGGATGGCGTCCTAGTGCGAGGTAAAGCAGCTCTGAGACACAGTTCGTGGATTTACAAATTGAGGGCAACGCTAGTACCCGTACAGCGACCCTATCTACAAAAGAACTAACTTCAGCAGAGCAAGCATGGCGTATGACTACACTCAGGAGGAGTTTGACAGAGAGGTTAATGAGGTGCTGTCTACCTTTGGACCCAACCCCCCAGAGAGAGCTGTGCAGCTCACCAGGAAACTAGTAAGAGAATACCTGCAATCTCTAGTAGATTTGGCCAAAAAGGAGTCCCAGGGAGCCAAAGGTGTCGTCCTTCCTCCCCAGCAGCAGTGTGTACCCCAGGGAGCAGAAGGTGTTGTCCTTCCTCCCCAGCGGCAGTGTGAGTCCCAGGGAGCCAAAGGTGTCGTCCTTCCTCCTCAGCGGCAGTGTGTACCCCAGGGAGCAGAAGGTGTTGTCCTTCCTCCCCAGCGGCAGTGTGTGTCCCAGGGAGCCAAAGGTGTCGTCCTTCCTGCCCAGCGGCAGTGTGTGTCCCAGGGAGCTGAAGGTGCCGTCCTTCCTCCCCAGCGGCAGTGTGTACCCCAGGGAGCAGAAGGTGTTGTCCTTCCTCCCCATGTAGTCCCAGGGAGCCAAAGGTGTCGTCCTTCCTGGCAGTGTGTACCCCAGGGAGCAGAAGGTGTTGTCCTTCCTCCCCAGCGGCAGTGTGAGTCCCAGGGAGCCAAAGGTGTCGTCCTTCCTCCCCAGCGGCAGTGTGTACCCCAGGGAGCAGAAGGTGCCGTCCTTCCTCCCCAGCGGCAGTGTGAGTCCCAGGGAGCCAAAGGTGTCGTCCTTCTTCCCCAGCGGCAGTGTGTACCCCAGGGAGCAGAAGGTGCCGTCCTTCCTCCCCAGCGGCAGTGTGTATCCCAGGGAGCTGAAGGTGCCGCTGAAGGTGCCTTCCTCCCCAGCGGCAGTGTGTCCTGCAGGAAGCAGAGACAGTCGGTCTCGCTCCCCAGCAGCCGGACAATATATTAAAAGGGGAGACAGTTGGTCCCCCTCTCCAACAGCAGAGAGTGTTCCAGGGAGAGGAACCAGTTATCACCTCTCCCCAGCAACAGGACAAATTATTGAAAGGGGAGACAGTCGGTCTCCCCCTTCAACAGCAGAGAGAGTGTCAGGGAGAGGAGCTTGTTATCCCCTCTCCCCAGCGGCTGAAAGTATGTATGGGAGAGGAGCTTGTTACCCCCTCTCCCCAGCGGCAGCTTAGCCCACCAAGGGGAGACAGTAATCTCCACAACAGTGCAGATGGGACAGTGGTCTCTGCACATGCACCACCGGGGGTAGGGACAGTCGGTCCTGTCCCCCAGCAGCAGGACTGTTTAGGCAAAGGGGAGAAAGTCTGTCTCCCCCTCCAGCAACCAGGCTCCAACCAGACTACTCCCGTGGTAGTGCTGGCACCAGGGCATAGTACCGCTGGTCTCTGCCCACTCAGCAACCCACCAAGGCAGCCTAACAGTTGCCCACACAGTCGTGGTGAGGCACCTGGACATGGACAAAGTTCTCCTCTACCCAGGTGTAGTAACCAGTTATTGTGGGTGGGCTGTACTGCTGTTTCTGTTTTGTGGGTGGGTTGCTGGACTAACCAGGGCACTGACCGGCAGGAGGTCAGATACCCTGTTAGTCTAGTTGGTAAAGGGGAGAAGTGTGGCGAAACCAACCTCGCCACTGTGAACTGGAGAAGCCTGGTTGCTCGCCTGCTCCCTTTGGACTATGGCCCTGCAGGTTAAACCATTTATTTCCCCTGCAGAAAGGCTTATTTGTGTGATCTGAGTGCCATTCATCTAATAATGTGCACTCAGATCCCAGCTATCTGGGGATATGTGAAATGTCTGTGTGTTCTGTGTAAATGTGACTTTATGTATTTTAAAGTGTTTTGTGTCTTTTTGCAACCATGTGCTTAATGGAGTCTTGTGTCTATCCTGGGAGATAATTGAATTACTCTCCAGGATAGAAGACTCTGAAACTGGTTTGGGCCAGAAAGCCATGCTTCATTTAGTCACAAAGGACTTTTTACTAACTTTTGAACCCCTTGTCTGATTTGTGCCATTTTTGAATATGTTGTTCCCCTGAATGGATTGATTGTGAATATGTAATTTTATGTGAATGTGATGTATGGTTTTGGAGTTATGAAAGTTGGGTAGAAAGTATGTTTTAACTGTATGTATAATTGAGTTTCCTCTCAGGATAAGGGGAGGGAATATGTGGGATGTAACTGTGATGTGATTGGTTGTTTTGTAACGCCCTGTGGGCTGTACTATGTTTGTGGATTGGGAATAAAAGAGACTGTATGTGACAGTACAGGAGTTCCTGTTTTAACCCTCAAAGTGAAGTGTCGTCTCATTATTGGGGAAGGATTTATTGTATGCTGTTCCAGTTTGACTGCTAGGAGAGTAAACCTATTCGTATGGTTCCTATTCAACTGTCTACAGCATTCATATGCTTGAGAGCATTCATATGCTCCTACAGTTCGGTGGTTTTGGTGTCTGCTGCAGTGCTTGGAGTCCTCAGGAAGCGCTAGGAGCATCCTTCAACGGAGGTACCCAGTCGGGGTGCCAGGTGATCCGTTACAGAGCGCATTAATCAGAGAAGCAGCACAGCAGAGTTCCATAGCAGAGACTAGAGTATCTGTACATAGGACGACAAAAAGCCGTACGATCTGATTTATAGCAGAGTGGCCAGAAGAAAGCCATTACTTTCAGCAAAAAACAAAATGACACGTTTTGAGTTTGCGAAAAGGCACGTGGGAGACTCCCAAAATGTATGGAGGAAGGTGCTCTGGTCTGATGAGACTAAAATTTTACTTTTTGGCCATCAAAGAAAACGCTATGTCTGGCGCAAACCCAACACATCACATCACCCAAAGAACCATCCCCGCAGTGAAACAAGGTGGTGGCAGCATCATGCTGTGGGGATGTTTTTCAGCAGCCGTGACTGGGAAACTGTCAGAGTTGAGGGAAAGATGGATGATGCTAAAAAAAAGGATATTCTTGAGCAAAACCTGTACCACTCTGTGCGTGATTTGAGGCTAGGATGGAGGTTCACCTTCCAGCAGGACAATGACCCCAAACACACTGATAAAGCAACACTTGACTGGTTTAGGGGAAACATGTAAATGTGTTGAAATGGCCTAGTCAAAGCCCAGACCTCAATCCAACAGAAAATCTGTGGTCAGACTTAAAGATTGCTGTTCACAAGCGCAAACCATCGAACTTGAAGGAGCTGGAGCATTTTGCAAGGAGGAATTGGCAATAATCCCAGTGGTAAAATGTGGCAAGCTCATAGAGAAAGCGACTTGGAGCTGTGATTGCCGCAAAATGTGGCTCTACAAAGTATTGACTTTAGGGGGGTGAATAGTTATGCACATTGACCTTTTCTGTTATTTTGTCCTATTTGTTGTTTGCTTCACAATGAAAAAAAAAGAATCTTCAAAGTTGTGGGCATGTTCTGTAAATTAAATGATGCAAATCCTCAAACAATCCATGTTAATTTCAGGTTGTGAGGCAACAAAACCCGAAAAATGCCAATGGGGGTGAATACTTTTGCAAGGCACTGTAGGTAGATAATAAGAGAACCTATAGATAGAAGTATAGGTTGAATATATAGGGACGAGTTAAACAGGATATTTTGCTAGACACTCCAAAGTTGAATTTCAGGATGATTGGTCTATTTCTTAAAATGAAATACACTTTTTAGTTAGTACATTTAAAAGACAAATATTTTTTGAATTTTATAATATTTAAAAATGCAAGCATTTTTTTCCTGTTTGACACACAGAAGAGACTATAACATGGCTGCCCTCTACTGGAATATTGCAGAATTAAACATTAAGAATTCTGCAATCTTCAGCAGAACTACACTAGTATACATGTATAACTCTCTCTTTAAAACTAGAGCAGAACAATACAAATGTGAATAGCAAGAGACTTGGAAAAAGGGTGTACTTGTAAAAACTCTTGAACACTAAAGTAGTATCCAAACTGACTAGACCAAAAAAAATCATTAAAGAAAATAGGCATTAAATTATAAACTTTCAATTGGGATGTAAGAGAAAGACCCATAAGCAGAAGTCCTAGAGTTACTCAGGCTGTGTCTCTTTGCAGTCCAACTTCATATGGAATTTAAAGGTCATTACCTCTGTTAAGACAGAGGATCCCATTTGCTATTACTATGACTCTTTTAAGGTATAGGTTAATATTAAAAAAACAGAAATACGTTTTTTATTGCCTCTACATGAGAGCTGCTCGGGGCAAGACAAATTTACAGGCAAACATTCACCTACTGCAATGATGAATGAAAGCATAAAAAGTAGCTAAAGTATTAAGCACTTATCATTATACATACCTATAGACATACGCCCTGTGGGAATATTTATGGGATAATAATAGTAACAGTGAGAATTGCCCACTAATTCAATTCTCAGATCCCAAATATCGTTATCGTGTTAAGTGAAATGTATACCATATAAATAATATTCACAGTTTTTATAAAAATAGATTTATTTTTAATAACAAATTAATTAATAATAATATTATGCAACATGCATGATAATAATCAATGAATATTCAGTATAAAATGATATGCAATACAAAGGAATGGGTATTACGTTTCAATGGCTAAATAGCATTTCCTGTCAAGACTTTATTTTTGACTATCTTTAACACAGACTGAAAGTGAAACTTTTCACAGCGAAGAACAGAATTCCTCAGAGTGCAGCGTAAGGTCGTAAAGTTTAGCTGACAGTTAGAATAACCCTTTCAATGCTGGCTAGATCTCCTAGGTAGTTAAGATCTATTCTTATGTCATTTTAAATAAAATAACATTTAAACCAGTTCATTAGTCATTTCCTGGAACCATCCAATAAGAGAATCTACCATATTATATAAGCAGATTTTTAATTCGCCTAATAAGATATCTTATCTTATATTAGAGCAAATCAATACACCTGGATAAAAACAGCGGTATGCTAACACGTGATACTATCACATCAATATATAATTATTCTTAATTCCACCTGCAGAATGGAATGTTTATAACTATATATATTTTTAGTTAACTAAGATTTCTTAATATGGAAATCTGACCGTGCTTTATCCAGTCATATATAATGCTATTAATAAATTTTAATTAATTTAATTAATTAAATGAAACCAGTATAATTACCAGTTGAGTAGATATTTGCAGTCTTGTCCCACTAAACATACCTATCCAGGAAAGAGTTAACTTTTCCTGGTGGCTATTTTGACGTCATTTTGGCCTATCTAGATAGTGGCCATAACTTACGTATCCTTCACAGATCAAAGGGTTTATTTAAGTTTTGTCCAGACTATGTGTCTGGCAATCTGAGTTTTTTACCTGTAACTTACAATGGGACCTTATATGTATAGACAGTTAAATTGTATTATTTAATCTTCTCTGTCACAATTGTCTGGGTTTAGAATTGATTATATTCTTCTTATCACTTGTTTATACTATGCATTCCTTTTAGCTCTGGCAAAGTGGCTAGTCTTACAGAAAGAAATCTTGTGTCTTTTTGTTAACTTGAAAATAACAAAATGGAGTCTGGTCTGTTCAGAGTGACTCAAAATATACACTTTTAGTTTCTATCATAGCACAAAATGTCTGCCGATATAAATACCCTGACAGCCCGCTGTTATGCATACTTTCCCTTTAACTTATCTCTCACTCCTTTGCTTTGGCATTTCTCTAACATCCTCCCTCTTAGACTCCAGTGCCCCTCTTCACTCCATTTTACCATTCTCCACTCCAATACTTCTTCTTTCTCCATACTTTAGTCCAGCTCCAGCACTCCTGCATTGCTTATCTCTCCCTCCTTCAATCTTCACCCATCGCTCCTTTTTTCACCAGATGACTTCCTTTTTCACTCCAGCACTAACCCTTGTACAGATATTCTGTTGTTTACTCCAACATGCGCTCTCTCCTTAATCCCTAGGTATATTTAGACAAATTTACTTTGTATCACACAGCCTTGTTACAGTGCTGCCGCCCATCCCATGTGTTCCCTATTAAGGGTTAATAAGTATATAGGGGTGTATAGAAAAAATACCTCTTTATCTCATTGGAGATATCTTTGCCAGAAGCTCAAGGAAGCAGGCTGAAGGGTCAGTGTTAAGACTCGCTTTAGAGGGGTCCGCCTTGACGTTGGCAGGCGGGCATTCCGTCCAATGGCCATTGGAGCAACTAAATGACCTCCATTTGTCTAAATATACATAGGGATTAAGGAGAGAGCGCAGGTAACTTTTTCTTTTCTTTGGTTTTTACTATATATTGCGGCTGATGTGTACTGTAGTCATTGCTGCCGGCCCAGTAGTGATGGGAGTGAGCGCAGGACTTATCTTTTTGTATTTGTGTTTATTCCAACATGCCATCATTTCCCCCAACTCTCTCTACTTCATCATAACATCTCCTCTTTCCTCATAGCTGCCCCTTACTCAAATGTTTTTTCTACTTCAATGCTCTACAGTGCCATCATTATTCAGTTATGACCTTCTACAAATCATGCTGTGAACCATCTTGCATTATTTGATCTCTCTTATGGAGACACAGATCGTCCTGGTTTGTGGCCTATGGATGAAACCTATGTTTCTTACCCCCACTGAAAAGTCTCAGAAGGTTAATCACTAAATAGATGCACAAAATTGAATTAAAATTAATGAATTATGACTATATTTGCAATTCTCATATTTACTAAAGCCAAATCCAGTCAAAATTCCATAATCATGACCAAATCTGCACCTTTCAACCAGATGTATTTGTTGTTGGATGTTAAAACATGTGTTTTTGCATCTGAATCTTAAAGCGGCACTGTCATGCCGAATTCTGGTTTTTTTTTTAACCCCCCTCCCGCCTCCACTACATCCAATTGACTCACTACTCACCCCCAAATGCCCCTAAGCCCCCCACATTACCTATTTTTTAATCCTTATTTTCTGCCCCGATCTATATTCAGGGCGCCGCCATCTTTGTGTGGGTAGATGAAGTCCCTGTGGGACACGTCATCAGCCCACACTAGACAGACTGTGAGATTCCCGCACATGCCCAGTGAAACACCTGGACATGCGAACGGGAATTTCATCTATTCACTCATTCATCAGACAGACGAATGAGTGAATAGAAATATCAGCCGAACAAACAAACACTATGTATCAGTGTTAGTTTGTTCGTTCAGTTTATTACAAGGAGGGAGCTACCGGCATGCAGCTCCCTCCTTGTAATATGTAACTATAGAAGCGGCAGGGAGCAGTGCTCCCCACCACTTCATAAGCCCCCCCAGTACCCCCTCTCACTCTATGGGGGTCAATATGACCCCCATAATAGCACAAGGGAGATAAAAATCTCCCAAATGCCCCTACTCGCTATACCGCGAGTAGGGGCATGTCCACTAAACAGTGAGTAGCCTGTGGCTGCTCACTGTAAAAAAAAACAAACAAAAAAACAACTATTGGCCCCACCCCTAAACAGTGAGAATGAGGGGGGGGCAGTACTCCCCCCACCCCTGGGCGGCGGGTGGGGGCCATAGTGAGAATGAGGGGGGGGCAGTACCCCCCCCGCCCCCACCCCTGGGCGGCGGGTGGGGGCCATAGTGAGAATGAGGGGGGGCAGTACTCCCCCCCCCCCGCCCCCACCCCTGGGCGGTGGGTGGGGGCCATAGTGAGAATGAGGGGGGGGACCTACTGCCCCCCCCGGCCCCCACCCCTGGGCGGCGGGTGGGGGCCATAATGAGAATGGGGGGGACCTACTACCCCCCCCGGCCCCCACCCCTGGGCGGCGGGTGGGGGCCATATTGAGAATGGGGGGGGACCTACTGCCCCCCCCCCCCACCCCTGGGCGGCGGGTGGGGGCCATGAAGATAATGAGGGGGGGGACTACTGTCCTCCCCCCCCCGGCCCCCACCCCTGGGCGGCGGGTGGGGGCCCTAAGTCAATTACCCCCCCCCCAAGGTGACTAGGGGTCCCCAAGCCCCTAGTCACCCACCCCCCACCCAAAAAAAAACAAGTCCCTACCTACCCCCCTCACCCTAAAAAATAGTGAGGGGGGGATAAAATAACCTGTAAAATAAAATTAAACTTACCATTCGACGCCTTCTTTTTTCTCAAATCTTCTTTTTTCAGCCCCAAAAAAGGCCAAATAAAAAACCATCATAACCGTCGAATTGAAAATAAAATAAAAATCCCGAGCGCAAAAAAAAAAACCCGACGAAAAAAAAAAAACCCGAGCGCAAAAAAATAATCCACCTTCACCCATGGAGGGCTCCGCGCAGACTGAGCTCCGCAGAGCGGGGGAAGGCTTATAAAGCCTTGCCCCGCCCTGCAATTAGGCTAAGAACACTCTGATTGGTGGGTTTAAGCCAATCATAGTGTTCTTTGTCATTTTACACAGTGGGAAAATTCAAAAGAAGTTCTTTTGAATTTTCCCACGCTGTGTAAAATGACACAGAGCACTGTGATTGGATGGCTTGAAATCCATCCAATCACAGTGCTCTGTGTCATTTTACACAGTGTGGGAAAGTTATTTTGAATTTTCCCACGCTGTGTAAAATGACACAGAGCACCGTGATTGGATGACTTGAAATCCATCCAATCACAGTGCTCTGTGTCATTTTACACAGCGTAGGAAAGTTCTTTTCACGCCAGGCCGACACAGTTAATCGCAGATTGGATGGCTTGAAATCCATCCAATCACACAGTGCTCTGTGTCATTTGGCACACAGCGTGGGAAAGTTCTTTTATGCTTAATGCTAATGACAGTTAATCGCGGATTGGATGGCTTGAACCATCCAATCACAGTGCTCTGTGTCATTTTACACAGCTGGTTCTTTATGGCCCCACCGCCTACAGGGTAGGCCGGGGCAGGTCCCCCATATTATGGCCCCCACGCCTAGGTAGGCCAAAGGTGCAGGGGCCCCCCAGCCAGGGGGGGCAGTAGGTCCCCCCCCATTCTCATTATGGCCCCCACCAGCCGCCCAGGGGTGGGGGCCGGGGGGGGGGCAGTAGGTCCCCCCCCCATTCTCATTATGGCCCCCACCCGCCGCTCAGGGGTGGGGGCAAGGGGGGGGCAGTAGGTCCCCCCCATTCTCATTATGGCCCCCACCCGCCGCCCAGGGGTGGGGGCCGGGGGGGGGAGGACAGTAGGTCCCCCCCTCATTATCTTCATGGCCCCCACCCGCCGCCACCCAGGGGTGGGGTGGGGGCAGTAGGTCCCCCCCCCTCATTATTGCCCCCACCCGCCGCCCAGGGGTGGGGGCCGGGGGGGGCAGTAGGTCATTTGGTCTCCCCCCCCTTATTTTATTTTAGGGCCCCCACCCGTCGTTTAGGGGTGGGGGCCAATAGTTTTTTTTACAGTGAGCAGCCACAGGCTGCTCACTGTTTACCAGACATGCCCCTACTCGCAGTATAGCGAGTAGGGGCATATTACTTACTAATACTAAGTAATTTTTACTTGGTATTAGTAAAGTTGGCTGAAAGACCAATTTAGGTCTTTCAGCCTTTTAGTAGATAGCTCCCTGATACCGTGGGAATTAGGGAGTTATCTACTAAGCGGCTGCAAGATGCAGCCACAGCAATGAATAGGATCAGAGTTTCATTCATTAGAATGAAATTCGATCCGAATAAAGTGCCGAATTGCGTTCTAAAAGAAACGAACATACTGTTCTCATTCAGTTAGAACGCAATTCGGCAGTTTTGTGTAAAATGACAGGAAGCATCGTGGGAACACAGAGGGAAGGTAAGGATCATGGGAAAATTGCTCTGACCAGCGGAAATGAAGCACACTTTGCTCCTCCGCTGGTCAGAGCTGGTCAAGCGGAGGAATCCTCCATAAGGCAAAGAGTCCCTACTTTGTCTTATGATTTTAAAGAAAACTAAAGAAGACAGGAAGAAAAGAATAACAGATCCTGAGAGAGGGGGAGAAGAGGAAGAGATTGAGGAAAGGTAAGTTCGGCATGACAGTGCCGCTTTAAAGAAAGTATAGAATTCATACATCTATAATCACCACTTCTGATGAAATTCAAATGCATTTGGTAAAATGCACATTCAGTCGATATAATTCACTTGCCAGATTATTAGCACACTGGCAGTGCTAATAGCAAGTTGGAAAATAGTTTAAAATAAACTCTCATGGCTGACCTAACTTATGTCATGTTAACCAGTCACCACATTCAAAAGTAAAAAGAAAATTAATAAATCTCCCTATATTGGGATTTAAAACCTTCAATATGCCCTCACAACGCAAACAGAAGTGTTCACTGTGGAGGATGTGGAGAAAAAGGAAGAGATAGTGCACAGGTTTGGTTGCTAGGGTGCCAACTTCAGGGATAAACTGTTGGAACAGGCTATTTCCTGTAAACAGACCATGCATCTTTGTTTAAGTTCACTTTAGGTTAGTCTTCTTTATATGGACACTAACACAATTCTCTTAATTTTTGCTCTGTACCCCACGACAAAGGATTTGAAATGCAACAAACCAGATGCAATTGAAGTGCAGACTTTCCGCTTTAATTTAAGGGGTTGAAGAAAACTATTTTATAAAACATTTAGGAATTTCAACCATTTTAAAACACAGTTCCCTTATTTGAGGTGCTCAAACGTGATTGAACAAATTAACATAATCATAAATAAAATGTTAATTTTTTTTAACACTTTGTAGGGAATCCTTTGTAGATAATCACTGCTTGAACTCTGGAACGCATGGACATCACCAAATGGTGGGTTTCATCATTTGTGATGCTTTGCCAGGCCTTCACTGCAGCTGTCTAAAGATATTTTTTCATGGGTTTATTTGCCTTACGTTTTGCAAGTGAAATTCAAGCTTGATCGGGTTAAGATCATTTGATTGAATCAGCCATTGCAGAATAGTACATTTCTTTGCCTTAAAAAAACTTCTTGGTTGTTTTCGCAGTATGCTTTGGGTCATTGTCCATTAGTAAAGTGAAGCGCTGTCCAATCAACATTGCTGAATCTGAGCAGACAATATATACCTATACACTTCAGAATTCACCTGGCTGCTTCTGTCACATCATCAGTAAACACTATTGACCCATTACCAGAACGGGGCTGGCTTTTTTAAATGTTTTCTGGCAAAGTTTAATCTGGTCTTTCTATTCTTGAGGCTTATGAATAATTTGCACCTTGTGGTGAACCCTCTGTATTTGCTCTTGTGAAGACTTCTCTTTATTGTAGAATTTGATAATGATATGCCTACCTCGTGGGGCGTATTCTTCACTTGTGAAGGGTTATTTCATTACCATGGAAAGGATCTTACAATAATCTACCACTGTTGCTTTCTGTGGACGTTCAAGCCTTTTTGTGTTGCAGAGCTAACCAGTGCATAATTTTTTTCTCTGTTAATTTGGCCACTCCTAATGTCCCTGCTATCTCTCTGATGGATTTTTTAAAAAACTTTTTGCAGCCTAAAGATGGCCTCTTTCACTTGCATTGAGACCTCATTTGACCACATGTTAGGGTTCACAGCAACAAAAGAATATCCATTTAATCTTTAACAATTCTTTAAAATTATAATCACCTCTCCAACTTTTTATATATTGCCATAAAACCTAACTGAGAAGGATCCCCACCCCATGTTGGTCTGAAAAATGAGCTGAAACACTGCATTTAGTATATCTTCTCTGAATGTTCCCCATGTTTTCCAATATGTGGGTCTTAAGACTCCAAGTGATAATTTCCACATACTGCAAACCACGGGTACACTAGAGAAGATATATAACATTGGTAGAGTGGCAAGTTAAAATCCCATTGACTGTATATCTCTGTTTTGTGGAATTAGATACAAACTGTCTATGTGTTGTCTTATTAAAATTAGTTTTTTTACATGCCAAACACATTTTACAGCGGTTGTATTTTTTCTTTTGTTTAAATATAATAGTCTTATCAGCCTTTTTAATATAACTACTCACCAAAGTATTTTGGGATCGGTTTTTAAAATATGCCAAAATGTATTTAAAATATGTTTATATGTTTAGCATTTCCAATAAAATCTAAAATATTAGGGATACCCTTATCTTGGTTATCTTGACCACTGTGATCTTTTTGTACTTTTTTATTTTTATCTTTATATTGTCATCATTATAATCATCCCTCTTTATCTATCTAACCTCTTGTTTTGTTTTTTTGTTTGTTTAGTTTCATATCCCAAAAAATACACAAAGATCAATACTCCTGGGAGACCCGTAATGTCAGGGGTTGGGTTCCTACTTTGTCGACTATCTGAATATATAGATAGACAATTAGAGATTATTCTAGTGTCAGTGACCTAATAATCTAAATTGTATTAAAGACAGGAGGCGAATATTTGCTTTACTTCCTTAACTTTTTCTTTGCTGCATGGAGGATACAGTAAACAGTTTGAACAAAAACAACCAATCAGAACACATCTAGTCAGTGATATGTGGCTGTGAGACTCCTCCCAACTCCTCTTTCTTGATGCAGCTGGAGTGTGATGTCAACCATGTAAACTAGAAACGAACAATCTTCAAAAAAACATAGTCAACCATGTAAACGAAACGTAGTCGGACCAGCAGATCCACCAACAAGGATGTCATGAAGATAACGAAGACAGATTCACACTAGAAAGAGAGGAAATTCGTGAAGGTATGGTGTGACTGGCAGCTTGGCAACATACAAATTCCTAGCACTTTGACCAATCCGCAGAGTTTAAAATGTCCGAAAGGGAACTCCCTGTGACAAAGGCAGAGGACGCAGCTGTGCCCGCACCAAATGTGTGCCAAAGGAGGTCTCAACACCTGCAAGGCAGAGGAGCCACCGGATCCACCGAGCAATCATGGGGAAGGACACTGGATGGTGAGGCCAAACATAGGACACAAAAAGAGGTCCCAATGGGGCCCAAAGGGGAGTGGTAAAGGTGAAATACCATTGCAAACAGCTGGCAACACACAGAGATGGCCTTTCAGGAAAATATGGAGAAAAAACGGAGGAAGAGGAGACCTTAGTGTGTCGAACAATAGAGAAATGTACTCCCTCTGGAGTAAATGCAATAGCTTGAAGATCAAGCTTCCAGGAAGGATAAGACCTGTGCAACATCCCAAAAATGGGTATAACGAGGGGATGGAGAGGCGGATACACCGTAGGAGCCTGCAAACGGATGAGTGTTGTCTGACAGGAACCGTATCAATCGGACAATGAGCCGCTGAAATAGCAGAGCGAAAAACGTTTATCGTACGGTAAGACTTGCCACTGTCAAAAAGAGAAGACAGGAAATTCATGATATTCACCAGAGTCATTGAAAATGGATTAATATCCCTTTCCAAACACCAGCGAACCCAGGATTTCCATGCCGAAAGGTAAGATCTGCGGATTCCTGGAGCCCATGAATCCCAGAGGAAACTTCGAGCAGAGTCCGAAAGGCCCGAAACATACCAGGATCCCCTGAAACAGTCCAGGCCGCCAGCTGAAGATATCCCTGGGCAGCGAGAAGATGGAAAGCTCCAGAGGGATCTCGCAGGAGATCCGGAGCGAGAGGCAGAAGCAGAGGTTAATCCGAGGACATTTCTAAGAGATTGGGATACCAAGGTTGGGGTCTCCAGAGAGGAGTTATTAACAGGACCGTCACTCCCAGAACCTTAAGTGCGAGGAATTATGGAAAAAGGTGGAAACGCATAAGCTCCTGTCAGCGGCCAAGGTTGTAGGAAAGCATCGACGGCTTGAGACATCGGGTCCAAAAGCCAACTGAAGAAAGCGTCTGTTTGACAGTTCAGTCTGGACGCAAACAGATCCAAAGTGATGGGCCCGCGAAGCCGATGCAGATGGTGGAAGACACTCGGGTCTAGGTACCAATCGCTGGCGTCCTCCCAGGTACAGGAAAACCAGTCCGCCACGAGGTTGTCCGACCCGGGTGGATATTTCGCTCGAAAAGAGAGATTCCTCCCTAGACAAAACTGGTAGAGTTCCTTCCTAAGGTCCGACAGGAGCTTTGAACGGGAGCCTCCAAGACGATTGACATAACGGACAGCAGAAACATTGTCCATTCTGAGAATCAAAGAGCAATTGTAAGCATCATTGGCAAAACTGCAAATCGCAAAGGCGCCCGCTATCAGCTCTTGGCAATTGATATGCATCTAGTGTTCTGACTGGGTCCAGAGACTCCCAGTAGAAAGGCCGGATCAGGTGGCTCCCCAACCTAGGAGGCTGGCATCGGACAAAAATCAGGTTGGCACCCAAATATAGCTCTCTCATTCCAGGCTTCCATGTTTTGGAGCCACCAATCTAACTCCAGACGGACCTCGTCTGTAAGGAAAACCGGTTGGTCGTAAGACTGGGATATGCAAAGATACCTCGTCTTGAGGTGTTGCATCGCCCTGTAAAGTAAGGGGCCGGGGAAAATAGCCTGAATGGACGAGGACAGGAGTCCTATTATTCGCACAAAATCGTGAAGGAGTATATGATGGGAGTACAATAGCCTTCGAATGTCCTTCTTGATGGCTTTTATCTTTGACATCGGGAGTTGAAGGATCGACAGAACGGAGTCGATCTGAAATCCTAGGAAAAGGATGGACTGCGATAGTATTAGTGAGGATTTTTTTAAATTGATTACAAACCTGAGATTTTGTAGGAGAGATTTGGTGAGATCTGTATGTTTCCGAAGAGTATGGGGGTCCTGCGCCATGATTAATATGTCGTCTAAGTAGACGATGGACCTGATGCCTTGGGACCAGAGAAGCCATAACTGGTTTCATTAATTTGGTGAAACACCAAGGAGTGGACAAGAGACCATAAGGGAGGCAAGTGAACTGCAAAAGCTCTTAGTGCCATATGAACTAGAGGAAAGGATGGTGACAGGGCGCTACCAGCACTGTAAGGTAGGCATCCCTGAGATCGAAATGGGAGAACCAATCTCCTTTGCAAAGCAGGTACCGGAGCAGGTGTATGCCCTCGATTTTGAAATGCTGATACACAATGAACTGATTCAAACTTCTCAAGTTGATGATGGGGCGAAAGTCGTTTGACTTCTTCCAAACTAGGAAGATGTTGCTGGCAAACCTGGAAGGGGATGAGGGTTTGATTGCACCCTTGTCTCTGAGCTTGCAGAGTTCTGCATGAAGTACGGCAGTGTCCGATTGGGACATCCGTAGAGAGGGGGAGGAAATTCCTGTATAGGGTCGGTGGTGAGATCTATGAGAAAACCTAAACCAGTCTGAAGGATCCAAGGATCCTGAGTGAAAAGAGACCACTGTGGGAAAAAACAGGTTAGATGGCCTGCAATATGTACTAGAGAATAAGGTAGGTGCATTACCTTGAGCTGAGCGATCCCGGAGAGAAGCAGACCCATGTCCTCTGATCGATCCTCTATTGGTGAACAGTTATCTGTGATATGGGCGGGTATAACCTGAGTTCCAAGGTTCAGTTGGTCGAGGCCTGTAGCCTGTGAAGGCAGACCTGCCAGTAGCTCAGTCTCTATGGCGACCAGCTCTGCCAGAAAAACGATTTTAGCAAAATACACTGTGGAGAGAGGTCTGAGCCTTATTTTTTTTTTTTTATTTAATTTCTTTTTATTGAAGAATTTGGGTCATAACAAGAATCATCATTAGGGATAGCCATCATAAATAACAGGTCAATTTTCATCAAGAAATATACAATTTCAGTACATCGTTTTACACTACATTGTTCTGTGACAGTATTCCATAATTAAAAGATGAGTGAAGTTGAGGGGGAGTTGGGGGGAATTTCATTGGGTAAGGTGGGGGGGAGGGTAGAGGAGTGGGAGATGGGAAGAAATGGGGAAACAGAAACAATATTCTTCTGACTAACATCTTTTTTTTTTTACAATCCTGCGGTCTTAATTTGATATAGTAACTTCTTTTAAGAATAACCGTCGGAGCCTTATTCAACAAGGTGAACACAGAGACGTGTCTGTTGAGGTCCCGCATGAACTGATCACCGAACAATAGGCCGTTAACTTCCGGACCAAGTTCTTTAGAACTCAAATCTGCCAGTTTAGCATCTATTTTATAGAGAGCAGCTTTCGGTCTCTCCGTGGACATAGCCACATTAGCATTCCCCAGTATGCATAGGGCTCCTTGCGCCCATTCACGTACCAAGTGTGGATCCAAGGTACCTTCAGCAATGACTTCATCCGCCAAAATAAAATCTGAATAATGGGGCCAGCAATGTCCAATAATTTGTCCTGGACCATTTTTATGCCTCTTTCTAGGCCCTTGCAGGGATCTTTACCCGATTTGCTGAGGAATGTAATTAAGAGAGGATCGAGCTCGGGTGTCAGAGCAACCGTATCTAGTATCGTAGGACGAGGGCATTCCGCCCGTAGTTTGTTTCTAATCTCTTTCTCCAGAGGTTTCCGGAGCCACATTCTGCAGAATTGGGCTATATGGTCCAGTGATACCCATTCAGTGGACCGGGGATGTTTGAAGATCCTAGGATCAAACAGGACTAGCATCCAGCAAGATGTCTGATGATTAATCCTTGTTTTGGGAAGGATTAACAGGGGTGGAAGTCAGCACCAATGGTTTATTAACGAAGGACTCCCTGACATAAGGAGTATTGCTATGTTCTTCCTCATCAGAGTACCCTGCGCAGTACTTATCCATGACTTGTAGGTTGTGATGAAATGTTGAACCTTCCAAGGGCTATGGGATGGCTCGTGGAGGAATGAGACAATCTTGGATTTTTGGCTGGTGCCTTGCCTTTACCAGCTGAGGTACTGTTGCCCTTCCAGGGACGTTTGCGCAGAGCTCCGTCGTGTTTAGAATCATAATGAGACTCATCTGAGTCGAAAATATTCAGCGCAACATGTGGCTTGGAAACAGGTTTAGCCTGTTTGTGATAAGCTGCAATGGCCTTGGGCATCGATTCCGCTATTGCTGAGAAGAGCCGAGATTTGAGTTCATCCGAGACAGCAAAGGCTGATGTGATATAACTAATGAACAAGTGAATGTGGTCACCCTGTGAGGATGCAACAGGGGGTCACCCTGTGATAACAACTGGGGGGTACCCAGAAATAAAAGTGGATCATCCTTAGAGTTAAGTTGGGGGTCACCCAAGTGAGCAAATGGGAGTTACCCAAAATGCAGTAAAAAGTGGGGGTCACCCACGGTTTATGTAAAAAACAAACAAAAATACCAATATTACAAAAGTAGAAGCAAACAAGCAAAAATGTACCGCTAAAGAAAAAAAACAGAGGTCATCTGTTATAATCAAGGGGGTCACCATTGTGGCAGATATATTGTTTAGGTTTAATAATGTTGGCAGGGGGCGTGGTCTGACCGCCGAGCGAGCTAGCCGTGTTTATCTGAAGCTCCGCTCAAACCACCCGGCTAACAGCTCATAATAGCAACAATAACCCTATACTCACCACTTGGTCAATCAGAAGATGGACAAATGAACCCCAAGGAAGCAACAGAAAAAAGGCTCCGAACCGAACGCAACAGTGCCGACAATGTTTGCGGCCTCCCGCATTACACAGTCTGGGAGCCAAGATGGCGGCAGCCCGCAGACAGAAGACACTGATCCGGACCCCGCAGAACACGAGGTGGCGAAGAGAAGAGAGGAAGAGATTAAGGCCACAGGGGCCAGAGCAACTGTCCTCGAACAGCAAACAGCCCAAGCGGCAGTACTCCACAATGCAGTCACTGACAGAGTGGCTTCACTCACAACCAGTGTAATGATATTGATGTTACAAAGTTTTGGAATCCAGTAGTCAGATCAGCAATGTTTTCTGCCAGAGGTAGCCACTCGTTACCCAGGTGGTTGAGCCCCTGAGCCTTGAGTGGCCTTCTGGTCTTAAGCAGAGATGGGAGACTGGAACAGAAAGATGATAATTGTAGTGAGGCAAGCCGAGGTCAGTGGGAAGGAGAAGCAGCAAAGTCAAAACAGTCCAAATTCAGCAACAGGAAGGAGAAACAGGAACACGCTTGATTAGAGAGTACAGGAACCACAATAATCTGGCAAAGGTACAGAGACAGGAAGTGGCTTTTATAGGCCAAGAACCAGACACCTGACCAGACACAGCTGAAGAGAGTTGTCACTGATAACCTTGACTCTACAACCAATGGTATCAGATCTCAGGTAAATTTGCAAAAGGCAGGCTGGTGTACTGGTAAGGAAGAGGTTTAGCACCATGTAAACCAGGGTTCGAAACCCAGCAGAGTCAGTTCCTCACAGGGTACTGTGCATGGAAAGACTGAAGAAGATCAGGAGCATGAATATTGTCCACTGGTTCCCACGATCTATCCTCCTCACCATAGCCTTTCCAATGAACCAAATATTGAAGCTTGTTGCGGAAGATCCTGGAGTCAAGAATTTTTTCCACCTCGTATTCATCTTCACCATCCACGAGGACTGGTGGTGGGGCAGGCAAGGCTCGACCAGGGAAAGTATTTTCATGAAAAGGTTTAAGCAGTGCCACGTGAAACACCGGATGTATTTTCATGGAATCCGGAAGTTGCAGACGGAAGGTGACTGCATTGATCTGAGCGATTATCTTAAAAGGTCCCATGAACTTTTGACCCAATTTATGAGAAGGAATCCTAAGCTTAAGATTCTTTGTTGACAGCCAAACCTTGTCACCAACATGATAAACTGGGGCCTCCTTTCTGTGCCTATCAGCAGCTCTTTTGTAACATTCCTGAGCCTCCGAAAGAGTCTCCTTCAACAGTTCTTGGGAATCTCGTAAGGCGGTTAGCCGGTCAGTGACTGCAGGAATGGAAGTAGCAATTGGGAGACTCACTAGAAAGGTTGTTTTGAATATTTTTATTGTTGTCATAACACATTTGCAGGTAGCATCTTTGTGAGTAATGAAGTAACGGTTGCCCACGCAGGGGTGCAAGGTTGCAGTACATACATTTGTTTGCATTCCGTCGCCTACACAGAGGCTGGTTGGTCATTGCATGCATGATACAGCAGATATATGCATAATTAGTTACTCGCATTTTACATCTGTAAGACTTGTAGTGTAACTATATTACGGTTGCACATGTGAATATTGTTTTGAGTGTTTCTGCCCTGTGCATGTTAATTTTTTTTTTTTTTGGCTGTGGGCCCCGTGATTTTTTGTTTATGTGCTGCGTCGTGTCTAAACCAGGGGTGCCATAGCTGTGTACTCTTTGTATCCTGCTTCTCCGCTGGTAGCATTCGGTCTGTTAGCTTCCTATTTGTGATCTGATGCTTAATCTTGTCCTGTTTTGCTCTGGTGCATGTGCTTGCAAGCTACCTGTGCATCTGAATATCTGTTGCTTTGTGTAGTTTGGTGTTTCATGGTCGTGTGCGTCTATTTGTGCACTGCGTTTGTCACTGTATGTGTTCTGATGGGTGTTCCCCTTTGTGTCCGGTTTTAAGGGCTGCGGTTAGGTGTGTGTGTATGTGGCGTGGCCAACTTTTGGTCCCGTGCGTGTTCTTCCTTCCTGTGCTGTCTGCGGTGTTGCCCCACTCTGTGTCTTGACTGTCTATGGGTCTATTGAGGGTCGAGTTTCTTGTGGCGCTTGCATCGTTCTTGTAGTGTCGCCAGTCAGTCATGTTGTGTGGTGGTGTCTTGTTAAGGTCTTTCGGTTTCGTTTTGCTACTGTGTCTGTCCTTTGAGGTGTGTTAATGGGTATGGTTGGGGGTTGATATGGGGGGGGTGGGAGAGGGTGTTGGGGGGTTATGAGTGTTGCCGTCCCCTGCCCCTGCCCCTGTCCGCCACCTCCCTCGCCTCCCGCCCGGTCCCCCGATCGCGGCCTCCCTTGTCTCGTCCTTTCTGGTTACTGCGTGACCAGGCGGCGTTGAAAGTCATTTGATGCGGTTAATCGTGTCCAGTGAAACCAGCGTTTGGTGTATCGGTCCCTATGTTTCGGAGTGTTTGCCTTTATATCTTCGTATTTCCTGGTGGTTTCCACCTCTTCCAGCCATCGTGTTATCGGAGGTGCGTTTACCTGCTTCCAGTAGATGGTCACTAGAAAGGTTGGATGGTAACCATAATTGGCAAAAAATGGTCTCAGAGAAGTGGAGCAGTGTTGGGCATTGTTATGGGCAAACTCCACCATGGGTAGAAAATCCAGCCAGTCATCCTGCAGGTAACTAATATAGCACCGCAAATATTGTTCTAAAGTCTGGTTGGTTCGCTCAGTCTGTCCATTACTTTGTGGATGAAAAGCTGAAGACAGATTTACATTAATACCTAGAATGGAACAAAAATATTTCCAAAAATGAGATGTAAACTGCACTCCCCTGTCAGAAATTACTTCATCAGGCACTCCATGCAAGCGAAATATTTCCCGAATAACTAGGTCAGTAGTCTGTTTAGCTGAAGGGAGACCACGAGCTGGTATGAAATGACTCATCTTAGTTAACCGGTCCACAACAACAAGAATGGTAGTGTGTTCCCTAGAGGGAGGTAGTTCCACAATAAAGTCCATGGATATAGATCCCCAGGGACGATGAGGAATCGGAAGAGGCTGAAGCAAGCCAACAGGGGATGA